GCTGTATTGAACTCTGGACGAAATAACCTTCAGCTCCCATTCTGAAGTAGGTAGAGTTCAGCAGTAGGGTTCATGGTGTAGTTCTAAAGTTTTGTAACAAGTTGAATTAGTGGTAGCTACGGTCAAAGTTTTAGACCTAGGTACGTTGTGTCAGAGGTGGATAACTAATGCTGTGGTCAGCTTTTGAAGCTGCCAGCTAATCCTTCTGTGGAGTGAGCACACCGACCAAAAAGCGTCAATATCGCTTTGCACTTTGTCATCAACCACGTGGAATTCGCAGATCTTTTCAGTGAACAAATGGAAAGCGTCAGTTATTTGCTGTAATGTCTGCCGTGCTGTCGTAAGATCCTCTCACTTGCATTACCACTAGTGTCCCGGCCTCTAGGGAGACCCACCTACGTGGACTCGCTTGACACCCGTCGAAGCTTCAGAGGCCTTTCTAATGCCCACAAATTTCGACAGACCGTCCAAGGATAACGTAAAGTCCGGGTCAAAGAGGATAGAACTCTGCTTTGCTTGTGTGGCTCAGAGCTCATCGCCTCGCATGAGGACCTGCTTTGTCGTCGTGTAATCTGCTGCGATTGTTTGGGTCTTTTTGGAGCCCCATGTTGCTGCGACCTACTGTATGTGGAGCGCGAAAACGACTTGTTCATACCTGGACGCATGGTGTGAAAGCCCGCTGCTTTCGCCGAAATTACAGGTGGACTTTGCTCATTTGCTATTTCTCACGCGGACGCTGACCTGTCATCTACTGCTGGAGGGCTTCTACAGTAATACGCTGGAATTTCCTATCTCCTGCGTTGGGCAGAGGGGCTAAGCAGCAGTGCTGGTGCAGACTGCAGGTGAAGCCAAATTTGACACTGAAATCCTGGCACAACATTTGCTCTGTACTTATTTTTACGCCCCAGTCGTGCAACACTGTATCAACTCGTCGACTTTCTGACTGTAATTCCCGGAATTTCAAATGTGACACTTTCACTCCAGAATTTCAAAATGCCCGGCTTCAAGGAGTTTTGCGGAACCAAACTGCTCAGCAAGACTATTCTTCGCAAACCCGACCGAGTCCACAAAACGCTTCTACGAACCGCTTTTGCGTGTGCCGTGGTACCCTGTGATAGGTCCACGCGGTCGGCCATACGAAAGCGACGCGAAATGCCTCGCTTTTATCGCATGAACGAGCCTCCTCCCCAACCTCCCCTTCCAAGCGAAACGCCCTCACTCCAACCACGAAAATGCCCCTACTCGCTGTGATGATGCAGTGGCGTCACGTCACATTCCATCGCTCCTTGCCGTAGTAAAGGCCTAGTCTTGAGGTCGGTTAGGTGAAGTTGCCGTCGTCCATGGCTCTCGTCTAAATCTGGCTCCGAATCAAAAGCATTGGCACGTTGTTGTTAGTCTTTCACCACGGAAGTTTAGCGCCATCTAGCATTCTTTCCTCCAGTCTTCATTCCGAAAAGGCATTTTATCTTCGAGCAGGGCTTTGCTGCTCTTTGTCGTGAGGCATTTCTCCGCGCTGCGGTTGTAAACTCTTATTTTTCCAGACACTTTGAAGAGACATCGTACACTGCAAAAATATTTTAATGCCGAATGCTTCCCTTTCAATTCCTATCAAAATGGAGACTCCTGGTGCCGCAGCGGAGAACCAAGCATCAGCTACAAACAGTAATGGTGCTACTGGCGGGACTCGGCGCACTTGTGATGTGCTAGAGCCTTCCTTGTCGGCTTCCGGCAATGCGTCCAAGCGGCTACGACACTCTTACACGCAGAGTGCAAACCCAGCCCCAAAGCTTCTTCCTGCTGAATCTACGGAATTGGCTCAAGTTCGTCCGAACACCGTTACGGCAGAAACGCCTTCATTAATAAGCTCTAATCTTCATGTGCCTCCAGTCTTCCCGGAGCTTCAACGACGGCTCGAAGAATCATTCGATCTGGATTCCGACATTCTAGGCGCCGGTCAATTTGGCACGGTTCGACGGTGCGTTTGCAGGGAGACGGGTCAAGCTTTCGCGTGCAAGACGATTCCCAAGTCGCGTCTTCTCGACCAATTCGTGAGACATGAGGTGAAGATGGAGGTGCTGCTCATGCAAAATCGGTTGAATCGGCTTCTTTCTTCGCTGGGCCCCAACGCACCCTCAGCGGGCAACACGAGCGCTACTGTTTGCGATGATAAATTCTCGGCGAGCGCCGCGCGACCAACGGAAGACCCGCCGATGCGCGTGGTGCATTCGTCGCCCAATGCTGCAGCAACCAGAGCAGCGACACATCCGGCGATAGTGCAGCTCCATTGGGTCTTCGAGGACGATGTGGGAGTTCATCTCGTCATGGATTTGTGCGACTCTGGCGACCTGTACGACGAAGTTGTGCGACGGGGAAGGCTACCCGAAAAGGAATCGGCGCTTCTGTTCCGACAAATCGCCTCAGCTCTCGCGTTTTGCCACTCAAGGGGTGTGATGCATCGCGACATGAAACCAGAAAATATCCTGCTCCATAAGCAAGGAGACGCTTCTAACCGGTTAACCGTGAAACTTGCTGATTTTGGACTCGCGATTCCGCTTTTAGCCGGCGAAACTACTCGAGGAATCTCGGGTTCGACGTTTTACATGGCGCCTGAGGTGCTCTCCGGGGAGTACGGGCATTCTGCCGATGTGTGGTCGCTTGGAGTTCTCCTCTTCACAATGCTAAGTGGTGCCGTTCCTTTTCTCGGGGATGACAATAGTGAGTCCACAGAGGCCGTCTTGAATGGACGTCTGGATTTTTCCTCGCCGGAATGGGCGACAATCTCAGTCGAAGCGAAAGGGCTGATTCGTTGCATGCTGCATCGAGATCCTCGGCGACGTCCGACCGCTGCGAAAGTCTTATCCCATCCGTGGGTGCTGCTGAACGTTTTTGGCGGGAGAATTGTTCGGAGAACCGTTGCTCGTCCCCTTGAAAATGCCGCCGATTCTCGGGAGAACAAGCCCAATGTAGACGCACGAGGCCTGCAACAACAACACTTCCTGCCACGAGGAATGCAAGGACGCGTTTCTTTGGCACAACTGCAGCAGCAGCCTGCAGTGGCAGTTCTGGAATAGCTTGTGCCTTGACCAAGAGCAGCAGCGCACAACCCAAGATGCTTGCCAGGGGCATCTTCATGGGCTTGTAGCTATGGTCCAGCCTGGGGATTTTGTGAGAACCTCTGCCTGATGATATACATGTATTGTTCAATGGTTTTACTAGTTCTGTGTACATGTTACTAACGTAGATAAAACTCCTGTTAATCAGCAACAGGCCCGAAATCTCATTTGGCTCCTCCCTTGTGGCAAGGTAAGCCTGCTATATTACTCTTATCCTAGGTTTAGTGTAAGTACCTTAGGAAAGTGTCCATGATCTGGATCAAAGATGCACACCACTAAAGAAGACACGTAAGGGAATTAGGATACAGAGATTTTTTGTTTCCAAAGGTCATGCCTGGCTCATATGGTTCACATGGGAATGATGTATAACCTGCATATACGCCGGAGAGTATACGGGAAATCGTTGAACCCGTCGTGTACGATTCAGTTTAATGCGTCAAATTTGGCGTTCGGTTCGTGAGAAGACCAATAAATATCAGAACTTGAAGTCGCTGTGGAGATCTCCTCGGACACGTGAGCACAACCGTCCCAGATGTCTGCTTGATACCGAAACTTTTCCGTTGGTCCCAGCTTCTTTGGAATATGTTCTCTCTGATTAGTTCGCTTGGTCGCGGTTTGCTTTCCGCCACCACTCTTGTGCAGACCGCCAGTTCGCATCACGCGGCCCGTTTCCAAAGCTTCGATCTTGGACGGTCAGGAGATGGGCAGCTCATGCAGATTTGGCGGAAGATCCTTGGTAGCACGAGCTCATAATTGCGAGTGCACCAATAGAGCGGAAAATCTATGCGCTGGCATTGGACTTGTTATTATATCGAGGGAACAAGGGGCAGACGCGCTAACTGTGGCCACACATGCCAGCCAGCAAATTTTGGCAGACTGTTGGGGTGGTTTTGGTGTTCAAACATTTGCTTCTGCCCCGGGTTGGTCCTTGTCCCTGCAACGCACCCAACACCGTCCAATGAGATCTTCTTGAGGCTTCGCAAGGGGCCTCGCCCCTCCTCGCTTCCTTCCCCTTCCCTTCATAACTTCGCAAATATCCCCCTGTCATTTCTTTCCCCGCGCATGGACCCCTTTCGTTTCCGCTGGTTGCATTGCATGTCTCCTCCTCCCCCCTTCAGTTTCCGCCTCGAACTTCCCCCATACCGCCCCCTCCGCCTCACCGTACTTCCATCCTCCCCATGCCCTCCACCTTCAAGCCCATTGGCGTTTGATGGTCTTGCCAGTTCCCATCTGAGCCGTTCATCCTCATCCATCAGGATCCACGCAAGCGTTCTAATCCCCATGCCCCGAGTATTTCTTTGTATCAAGCTTCGCTTCTTTGATTATCTCACCACATCTCAGCAGTTGTCATTGTCTTCAAGGTCTTCAATGCTTCAGAGGCTTTTTCTACTAGCGCCTTGAGCAGGAGGAGGGCTTTCAGGTCCGACACTCTCAGCAGTTGAAATCAAGTCTACCACTCTGAGCTCTTCCTAGTAAGCGCGTATCTCCACCACAGCTTCTGTTTTGACGCACGACACCATGTCTAAGCCTGTCGCCATGGGCAGCCTTCGCGCTGCCAGTCGCGACAGCATGTCTTCCACGTCCTTCTTATCTCACCTAAAGCTTCGGCCTTCAACGTACCGCGGCTCGACTTCGGTATCTTTCCGCGTTGGTCCTCCAATCCGCGCGGTTCTGGACAAACCTTCGAGCAACACCAGTGGTGGAAGCAGCGGCAGCACCAGCGACAGTGGCAGCGGGAGCCGCTTCACCCGAAGAGGTACCGGCCAAGATTCCTTGGACATCGCTCGCGCCGCATTGGAACGTCTATTCTCGCAGAACTACCGCCAAGATCACAAGACCGAGGTGGATTCCACGAGGTTTCTTGAGGACGCGATTGCGCAGCTCGAAATGGATCTGTCTACGGTCTTCGAGGCCATGCGGGAGAAAGAGGAGGAGCTTGCAGAGGCTGAGCAACGGCTGCTGTTCGACCGGGATAACCTCGAAACGGCGCGCGAACTCATCCAGGAGCGTGAGGCTCGTCTTGCCGAAAGCCAGACGTCTCAGTTGTCTTTGCGGGAAGACGCGGAAAAGATCCGTTCAAAGCTGGCGGAGCAGACGGAGGAGCTGGTAGCGGCTCGCAAGGAAGTGGATTTGAGGAACAAGGAGATTCGCGAGGCCAAGGAGGGGTTGGATAAGAAGGAGGAGGAGATCACGCGAGCCCATGCGGCGATCCGAGCAAGGAATGAGAAGTTGAGGCTTGCCGAAGCTCAGCTTCAGGCTCAGGAGAGCCAGCTTGTAGCTTCGACAGCGGAGGTTCGGCAATTGCGGTTGGATCTCAGATCTGCGGTTGCCGAAAAGAAACGGTTGCAGGAGGAGCTGGAGGATTCGCAAAAGGAGCTGCGTCGGCAGGAGGGTAAAGTGACCGCCATGGAATCAGATTTGGAGAAAAGAGGCGGCATTGTGACCGCTGCGCAGAAGGAGATTAAGATTCTTCAGAAGCATCTGAAGAACTCCGGAGAAAAGGGAGAGGCTGCGTCTCGGGAGCTCGCTCAAGCTAAGTCGATGATTGGTGCGGTGAAGGCCGAGTTGAAGGTGTCTAACGAAGCTCTGAGCAAATTCCGGTCCGAGGTTCATGAGCTGAAAGCCGCCGTCTCGAGACAGGAACGCGAGGCGACCAACGCGTCGATGCTTTTGAGAAAGCGGGAACGGGAGCTCGAACGAGCAAACGCGGAACTCGCAAAGGAGAAGGCGACGTTGCAAGCAGTCCGCGCCGCGGTTCTGGATCTCGAGACTAAGTTAAAGCATGAGATGGACGCCTGCGAGACGCTCGCAAAGGAGGTCCGGGACGCGCGGTCGAGGCTTCGCACAGCCATGTCTGAAGCTTCCGAGCTCCGTAAATCCGTCCGACAGGCTGAGTCAGAACTCTCAGACGCCAAAATCACCCTCCAGCTTAAAGAAGCAGAACTCGTGGGTCTCCGCCTGGAGCTACAAGAAACTGCATCGGATCTGTCTATAGAGAAGCAGGACCTTAAATCCCGGTCAGAGGAGCTCGACGCCGCGGCAAGCGCGCTGGAGGGTCTTCGCCGGGAGCTGGCCGCTGTGAAGCTGGAGCTGCAGGTTAAAAATGAGAGGGTGGCGGCGTCTGATAAGGCTTTGGAGATGCGGGAAGAGACGATTGGAGCGATGGAGGTGAAGCTGGAAGGCAGCAACGCGCGCCTGGCGGCGGCGGAGACGGCCGTGGAGCAAATTGCGGAGCTCTCGCGCAAGCTCGCGGATTCCGCGCTCGCCGCCGGGGGGTTCGACATGGGGGTGCTGCCGTCCGGGAGAGCGGTGCAGAGCGGTGGTGTGGGGTCGGTGGGGTTGAGAGGCGGGAAGATGCTGGTGGGGGAGAGCGTGCTGCTGGCGGAGACGAACCGAGAGCTGTTCGCGGCGAGCCGAGCTCTGCTGGAGAAGGAGCATGGGATGCAGCTGCTGCAGGTAGGCCGTACTGACCTCCCCGACCTGCTGCTTCATATACACCTAATTTTCCCACCCCAACTTTCCCCACCCCCTTCCCTTCCTCGCACTTGCTTCCCATCTCTGCGTCTTTCTATGTCTCTCTCTCGTGCAGCCCCCTCTACCCGGCCTCCTTGGCCTTTTCGTCTCCCTTTGCCTCATTTTCTTTCATTCTTATCCATCCCTTGGCCGACCCCTCATCCCAAGCAGGAGCAGGAGCAAGAACAGAGGGAGCAGAACGAACGTCTATTGGAGCAGCTCCGGGCAGCAAGGGCAGCGCTGGGAGAGAAACAGATCGAGCTGGACTCCGTGAAATCCCTCCTAGCCGAGCGGGAGGAGGAGATCCGGCAGCTGACGGCGCGGTGGGAGGAGCGGGAAGCTGCGCTGACGGTCATGCGCGCGGAGGTGATCAGCGGAGCCAGGGAGATCGCGCAGCTGCGGGACGTTATCAAATCCGCCTCCTCACGCCAAGCAGGGCAGCAGGGCGAGGGGGTGGAAAAGGTGTCGCAGGCGGATTTGGTGGCGCATGAAGTTGTGAAGCTGGAACTCGAGGTGAGCTCACTGAATCCATGCTACAGCCATGCTACTGAATCCATCCCACAGCCTGCCTGCATGAGCGCCCTCAGTCCCCTCCTGGAACCTCCCACGGCCTTTGTCTAGTGCTGGCCTTGCACCTTATCGTGGCTGCCCACCCACTGCTCTTTTACTCAACCATTTCCCATTTGCCCCCTTCCCGTTCCTCCCCTTGTGCCTTTCCCTCCCACCTTGGTGTGTCCAGGTGGCCAAGGTGGAGGTAGAGACCGCCATGTCAGCTCTCCAGGGCTTGGCCGATCTCAGTGCCCAGCTCAAGGCAGACACAGACGACCGTATGCTGCTGCTGCCCGCATCCTCGCTCGGTTCCTCCACTGCTTCCGCCAGTCAACTACACGACTCTTGTCCCGCTCTGGCCTCGGCTGCTGCTGCTGTCAGCGCATCAGGGAGTGCCGCCCAACAGGGAGAGGAGCAGGAGGAGCAGCAGAGGTTGCAACAGCAGCAGAAGGAGCGGGAGGAGCGGAGGCAGAGGGAGGAGGAGCAGGAGGAGGCACGGATGCAGCAGCAGCTGCAGGAGAGGGACAATGCGCTGCGCATGGCAGTGCGCGCCATGTCCAACCTCACGCGCCTCACTCAGAAGCTTGCCGCTGACGCCCAGGCAGAGTTCTCAGGAGGAGAGCCCGTGCTGCAGATGTAGCACCAGCTGGTGCAGCTGTGCTGGTGGCTGTGCTGCAACTGTGCGAGTCATGTCCAACCTCACATGCGTCACACAGAAGCTTGCCGTTGACACCCAGGCAGAGCTCTCGGGCGATGAGCCGGTGCTGCAAATGTAGATTCGGAGTTTGGGTGGCTGTGCTGCTGAGTGAATGGCACAACCCCTCGTGATCTTATGTTCCTCTCTTGCCAGCTGGTTGCTGATGCTGAGTAAGGCAGGGCTCAGGCAGGAGAGAAAGCATGGGGCTTTCGCGGGGAAATTGGATCAGGGAGGATGTTTTTATGTGCTTGTGCTGTCTGTATGCTATGAGGAAAGACTGGTGCATGGTGAATGTTGGTCTGCTGCAGCTGTCCCGCACTGGTTGATGATACTTATTGCTGCTGGATTGGATCCTGTTCATGTGCAGTGCATACTGCAACTGGACATGTGCATGCTTTCTGTTGGGTCTTTGGCATGCTGTATGTTATACTCTCATGGCTTGTAGTCGTGTCGGTGCTTCTATAAATGTAGGCTCAGACCTGTCCTGTACATGTTGGTACCATCTACTGCTTCACATTGTGAGCACGCATTGTGAATACCGTACCCTGCTACTGGCCTCTCTGTAGGGTACAGTATTCACAACCCTTGTACAGGAGATATAAACACAACCCAATTCTGCACTAGCAACAATAGTCCAAACAAACTATCTTCAGCAGGTGCACTGATGGTCCAAGGGTACATTCCGCTCAGGACATGTACCTTTAGAAAGTGTCTGAATAGATTGTGATGCTTACAGCATATGATGCCAGGTGTTCGACTGACGAACCGCACGTGAATGTCGCAAACCGCATTTATCATTGGGTGACGTGAAAGACGGAACAGTCGCTGACTAATTGCAAGCCAGCGCGGCACACACCAGCCATCGCACACAGTGCCAAATGTCAATCCAGGCTGCATGTACCTGGTCATCATTCAGCATTCACGGCTATCAGTAGCAACACGTACACTGCAGCGTGATTGGTCAAACCGAACTCCCTCGGAATTATTGAGTGGGCCAGTCACAGAGATAACCAATCAAAGTCGCTCACATATAATTGTCGCGCGGTCCTGCAGGGTCGCAGTACATTTATCGATTGGGACATGAGGTTCCAAGACATTTGAGGGCGACTCGGGCAAAAAGTGATTTGGACACTTTCTAAGGGTACATGTCCTGAGCTGAGCGGAATGTACCCTAAGACCATAGCACATGGCCATCTAAGATCGCGGCCCAAATTGTTCAACCTTAGTAAGGTTGACCTTTGGGTGGCGGGCGAAGAAAGTTGACTTGTTGGGAGTTGGGCTGTTTGCTTTCGCCCAGTTTCGCGCTAGACCCTTGGGGTTTTCGTTGACGCGGCAAACCCCTGGGAGCAACCCGGGTTTGCTTCGAGAGTCCCAAATTGCAATCAACATATTGTTGTTGTTCCCTGCTCTCCCATTCGACAAAAAATATATAGCCAATCAGATTGCATCTCACTTCTCGTAACCACCCTTCGCAACCCAAAAAGCACTCAAAACATCACCCCCGTCAACCTTAGTAAGCTTGGCCAGAGTGCTCCGCAATTTGGGCCGCGAGCTTTGTCATTCTACAGCTTTGCAAGCTTCACCGCAGGTTAACGCTCCACTACACCACCAGGTGACCACTCAGTTGCTATGGCGCCAGGCTTTGGTGCACCCAAAGGTGACTCCCCACCACCCTGTTCACTAAACTCTAAGCCGCTGCGCCTTTAGGGTACACTAGACCGTAGAGCATCGCTTTCTTTATTGCATTCTGAAGCTTTGCCTGCTCCACCACAGGCTTATGCACAGTACCACCAGATGATTGCTCAGGTGCCCTTTCAGCTGCCTCCTCCGGATCTCCAATTTCCAAGAAATATTTCTCCAGCCCGCCCGGCATACAGATCACCAGCATCCGGGCAGGTCGGTCGGAATTGTTGCGGAAAGAATGTGCCCGGCCAAGAGGCATATGCATGAAGCTGCCCTGGCTGGCTTGATAGGTCCTGTGGGGGTGGAGTATGGAGATGTGATTGGTGCGAATGGCGAGCATGGGAACGCGGCATGGTGGATGGGGACACGGTGAAAACAGGACACAACAAAAAATAAAATATTGCAACTTTATGTGAGTCCACGCAAGCAACCCTCTCAACTCACCTGCCTTCATCACAGCATATCACCATACAAGCCCCCTTTCCCAAACTTCCCTCCCCTCAATCTCCCCACCTCCTCCCTCCTCTCCCCCCAACTCCCTGCCCCTTGCACTCCCACTCACTCTGATAACCGAATCATCTATCCAACGTCCCTGCTTCCTTAACTTTCTCGTAGACCTCATGCCTGGCCTAGGGCCCATATCACTCTCTCTTAAACTCACTCTTTCTCGATGGTCCACGTCATCTGCCCGTCCAGCAAAAACCATGCCTCGTGCTCCCGCGTGTGAATGTGCTCCTCTGTGCCCTCCCCTGCCGGAATTTCATACTCAATCACACTGTAAGACCCACCCGTCTGCTCCGCCTCGGCTTTAATTCTCACTCTCATCCCCATCGCATTCACCACCTTCCCGCCGCCCGCGTCAACCAGTCCTGTCGCAGCGTGAGGACAGCTGGCGGTTTTGTCCGTGTCTGGAGCTGTGGTGGTGGCAGTTTCGCCGCCCGTCCCCGCAGCAGGTTCAGGTTCAGGTTCTGCCAGCCTGGCAGAGTCCAGCCTATCCATAGGTGCCACGTGTGCAAGGTCCCCCAGCAATCCTTCTGTGCTTCCAACCTCCACATTAGTAGGTTTACCTAGACTCACATACCCCTTCCCATCCAAATCATCTACCCACACCGCCCCTTCCCCTCGCCCCCCATTCCCCCCTGGTTCTCCCCAGTTCCCATCCCTCCCCGCCCCTTCCCGCTTTTCCCCCACTTCCGCCTCCCCCTTCCCCCCCCGCGCGCCCGCCCCCTGCATGTCTCCGCGCACTGCCCCGATATGTTCCGCCATGCTGCGCTCCGATTGAAGGCTGGGAGCCGATTCCACCTCTGGCGCACGACTTTTTTCCCCCAGCGCTTCCCCCGATCCCCCCCCTTCCCCAGTATGCCCTTGCGCCTGCCAGCTTCCCCCTCCGCCTTCAAGCACCCGGCCCTCCCCTCCGCCTTTGCTCCCGTCGTCTTTCACATCCGTGTCCATTAACTCGCCGCGGCCGCCGGCACTAAACGACGCAGAGGGCTGTCCATCGCGGCGCCCTGCCACGTGGCGCGTGCTGATTTGCTGCCCCGTTCCCGGCGGGAACGACGCGGCTGCAGCTGACGTGGCAGTCGCTGCCACGTGGAAGAAACGCGAATCCAACACCTCCTCCACTCCCCCGTCCATCATGTAATGCGCCGTGAATTCAGCCGTGAAAACCGCCGCCCTCTCAAGAACCATCCCTTCCCCGTGAGTGGGCAACGGCGAGGAGGGGGGGGAGAGGGACGGGGACGAGGACGCAGCGGGGGAAGCGGGGGACGGAAGGGTTCCGGGGGCGCTGCTGACGGCGGAAATTGAGAATTGGCGGAAGCGAAACGGAAGTGCATGGCGCATGGGCGGAAACTGCTGCGGAGACTCCCGCGGGTTTCGCGGAAAGCTGTAAGCTGTGGTACGGCGGTCAGCAGAAGGGACCGTTAATTCCACGACCTGTGATTGTCAAGAAAACAAAGTTCATAAAAAAACGATCATGCGCTTGCACAAAATATAAGGGGCATATATAAAAATAATATATGTACAAGGCGAAACGACGGTGGCGTGCCTTAAGATGGAGTCGCGAAACCTTCCGTGATGCTCGGTGCGCCAAGGCGCAGTAGCGGGCCGCCATGGCGTGTGAAACCAACAATTGGAGAGGTGGGAACTTCTATTTTGGGACAATTCCTACGGGAAGATAACGCGTCTAGATCTTACGCGGGAAGTTAACGCGGGAAGTTACCAATGGGAAAAGATAACCCAGAGGCACCCCCGAGGGCACAACGCGTTTAGATTCAACGAGAGCCTCTCACACGAACCCCTCAAGACAACTCTTGCTTTTTTTGCGGGAACTGGAGGCGCCAAATAGAGATTTTAGCGAATGCCCCGCTTGCAACGGTGCTAAACTCCCTGTGAGGAGCTAGACGCGGTTACTCCCGCCCCTTGTTGATACTAGGCGACTTCTATCGGCCTTTATTGAAAAGCTATCCAATTCCTCTCGCCCCTTATTGTGAAGTTAGGCGATTCCTCTCGCCCCTTATTGTAAAGTTAGGCGATTCCTCTCGCCCCTTATTGTAAAGTTAGGCGATTCCTCTCGCCCCTTATTGTAAAGTTAGGCGATTCCTCTCGCCCCTTGTGAGCGCGAGAAGTGCAAGCACGAGAGACGAGAGGTAAAACGCTGGAGCGTCGCGATAATATGTGGGAGAAGAGAGTGGATGCGAGGGAAAGGCCGGAAATATATGTGAGCAAAACGCGCTACACCAGGCAATGGTGCCCGTCGTCATCTCGTCACGAGTCACGACGACTCCCACCATCCCGCCAAAATCCCCAGCCAGCGCAGGAAATGCGACTGACTGAATCGTCGAGACAAGCGACGGGTAGTCAGTCGCATTTCCTGCGCCACGCCATGCGGTGTGCATGCATGTGCGGGGCTTCATCAGCCCTCTGACGTTGATTGGCAATCGTACGGTTCATGTTTATTCGAGATCCTCCAACGTTCCAATTCCAAACACATTCGTGTGCTGTACTAGGGGGAGAAAAAACTGGAAGAGTTAGAATTACTAAGGTCATACAAAACGGTTACTCTCGGTAGAAACAATATCTTGGACTTGCCTGTAGGTTTTGTTCGGTGAAGTCCAGCGAAGAAGTGCTGGAAAACAACCACGTGGTTTGAGATCTCACGAGCATCGTGTCATCCCCACCCGTGCTGGCGCACATATTCAGATCGATGACGCAACGCATGCGTGCTGCGATCCATCCAGCGTGGTTAGTGCTGTGAATGACGTGTTGAACGCATTTCACTCGCCAAATCAGAACAAAGGAACTTCTGATGTTACTGCGTTATAAAATACTCCACACACAAGTACACGAGTCGAACTCGCCTTGTTGACTCAATATCACGCGCAATTGTGCATATTCAATGTCCAATGACAGCTAACTATATTCCATGCCACCGAGCAATTGATATTGCCACCAATTCCAGGTGTTATAACTCGTCTTTTTTGCTGTATATACTTCCCATCGTTATCTGAACCGAACCACGTGTAAGGATTTACAAATCCTTACTGAGGCACTCGTTAGCGAGGCCATCCCGAGGGTCACGCGACGAACCTGTCTTGCCTATTTCGTCGCACCGAACCACCCCCGAGTCGGCCTCCGCTCCAATCGCAACCATCACCGAGCCATCCCATACCGAACCCCCCGCCTAGCTAGTTTTTCCCCTATTTAGGCCCCGCTACTTCATTGTTTCTTGATTCTGATAGAATCGTAGGAAGGAGATCAAGTTTAACTAGGGCCTAGGCTTAGGAGCCTAGGCCCAACTAGGATGTCGAGTAGTTTGTGCCTAGGGTGAGATGTCGAGGAAGTTGGGAAGAATTGGTTGCACTATAGGTTTCAAGGAACATATAGCATAGGAAACAAAGAAGGTGCACCACCAAACTAAGCTTATAATAACTACACTAACTACAGCTACAGGCAGTTACAAATATAAGTTCTGACACTCCCCCATAACTGCCTGCAGGAGGAGTTTGTGCAGAATACAACCTGCAAAATAATAAACAAGCAACAGCAGGAACTGCAGGCGGGCTGACACTAGCTGGTCACCCACTCCATCTCCTCACCCTCCTCCTTCCCCTCCCCCACACTGCTGCAGGAGCAGCAGAGAGGGGGGGGAAGAGAGGAGAGGTGGAGGGACGGCTGCTGGTTGCCTCACACCCGCCACCCCGGTGCCACTCCCCCTTCTCCCCCACACCCTCACACCCTCCCCCCCAGCGGCAGCTGCAGCAGTGGGAACGAAAGGAGGAGGAGGGGAAGGGAAGGAAACGACCCAAAGCTCCAACACCCGCCACCCCCATACCCTCCTCCCCACGGCTGCAGGGAAACAAAGGAGGAGGGGGTGGGCGGGAAGAAAGCCGCAGAGCGGCTACATTGTGTCGGCGCAGGTAGGTCAGGGGCGGCTGCAGGGAGAGCAGGTGCGGAGAGGGCCCGTCGCGTGCCACGGGGCGCACGACGGGCAAGTTTAAGTTTAGGGCCCGGTCGTGTGCCTCGGGGCGCACGACGAGCAGGGCACCGTCGCGTGCCACGGGGCGCACGACGGGCAGGTTTAGGGCACCGTCGCGTGCCACGGGGCGCGCGACGGGCAGAGAAGGAGTCACTCGCCAACCAGGGGCGGGACAAGAGAAAATCGCCACGCGCCCTAGGCGCGCGACCGAGAAAAATAGCAGCGGAAGCATATTGGCGGGCCCACAGGCCAGGACGTAAAACGCTCTGATAGCATGATTAAGTTTAGAAGAATGAAGAGGATTGCACTAGCAAGAATGAGGATACAAATAGCAAACCCTAGAAGGGTTGTACTCGCTATAGAGCACCCCACTACAGGCTAGAGCATAAGATAACATTCTGACACACCCCCATAGCCAAAGTGGGGTGTAATCAGCAGAGTAAGCAAAGGAGTACAAGCTCAGGGTGGATCACAATGTCACCACACATTCTGAGCACAAGTTCAAGAAGCAATAGTTTAAGTTCACAATTATGAGCAAAGCTAGTGGTAGTCACAACGGGCAAGTGAGGAGGAGGAGAGAGAGTGAGAGGAGAGGAGATAGGAGGCGACGGCTGAAGCTGCAGACACACAGGCAACAGGAGGGCAACCTCCATTCAGCTTCCCCAAACTATCCCACTCCCCCCTGGCACATACCCGCTGCTACACCGCTAGCTCCACTCCCCCTTCACCCCCCCTTAGTACCACTCCACCGGCTCCAACACGTCCACCCCCCCTCAGCGGCAGCTGCAGCACAGGGAGACGGAGGAGGAGGAGGAGCAGGGGACGCCACACACCCGCCACCCCCCAACCGCCACCCCCCAACCGCCACCCCCCAAACCCTAAAAACAGGGTAGGGAGGTAGGGGGGGGGGGGGCAACGCGCGGCCCCCTGTAGACCGGCCCCCCCCAGGGCACCGCGACGGGCGACGGGAGTTGGGCCGGGGCAGGTCGGGGCCGGGGCAGGTCGGGGCCGGGGCAGCAGGGGCCGCGCACGGCTCCCCTGGGCAGCGCGACGGGGCAGCAGGGCCGCGCGACGGGGCAGCAGGGGCCGCGCGCGGCTCCCCTGGGCAGCGCGACGGGGCAGCAGGGCCGCGCGACGGGGCAGCAGGGGCCGCGCGCGGCTCCCCTGGGCAGCGCGACGGGGCAGCAGGGCCGCGCGACGGGGCAGCAGGGGCCGCGCGCGGCTCCCCTGGGCGGCGCGACGGGTCCCCGTCGCCCGTCGCAGCGCCTCCCGGGGGCGACGCGGCGAGTGACGGGGCAGAAACCCGTCGCGCGCCTCGGGGCGCACGGCGGGCAGAAAACCGCCGCGCGCCTCGGGGCGCACGGCGGGCAGAAAACCGCCGCGCGCCTCGGGGCGCACGGCGGGAAGAAAAACTGCCGCACGCCACGGGGCGTGCGGCACAGAGAGTAGCAGTGGCAGTTGCAGCGGAAGCAACAAGGTGGTGAGCCCACCCACAGGATCGATCCAAGGGGATCGACCTGCTCTGATAGCATGTTTAAGTTTAGAAGAATGAAGAGGATTGCACTAGCAAGAATGAGGATACAAATAGCAAACCCTAGAAGGGTTGTACTCGCTATAGAGCACCCCACTACAGGCTAGAGCATAAGATAACATTCTGACAGATTCAGTACTCAATCATTCTCGTTATTCGTTTTACTGCGCACTCTGCAAGTTCATTCATAACAACAAGGCCTTGATAGCCAGCTTGACGAACTCTTCACAAACCTTGGTGAATTCTACAAAAACTCTGCTGAACACACCAGAGGAGGCTATGGGGTGGGGGAGCTGAGGAGGCGTAATGCGAGCCACGAGCAGTCAGACCACGTATACCAGCGGTAACCACCAAGAATGCCCTGTAGTGTCAGCAGTGTTGCGATCAGAAGATGATCGCTACCAGGATCACCTCAGGAAGGTTCGCACGCTTCAGACTAGTAGTGGTGGGCCCGTGACCTCAATAGCAGAGTGAATGTAAAATGCTTGAGATGATAAAAACATGCAAATACAGCGATATAAATCTGAGTACAAGGGAATCTGAAACGTCCTATCTAGCCATGTACTCTAAGGGGTATATTCCCTTATTCAAATTCAACCGTCCGGCGCGTACAGTTACGGAACTGTTCCCGCCAAGATCCTCCTGTATGCAGCTGCCCGATGTCGTCTGCTCCGACGGTCCGGATGCATCAACCGTCTGTCGTTTCGAGTCAACTCTGACTCTTCACATTCATTGTCGATATTGCATGCTTCTTTAGCTGCGGTCGGGAGTGCATTGTGATCTTCATTTGTTGCTATTCGTAACACCCCCCTTCACTCCTGGCCGTAGCTCAAC